TACCTTTCTGATTTTTTTTCTGAATAGAATTACATCATGAAAGTACGGTTGGTGTATTTATCAGGGGTTTCATTATGGCTGCTAAAAATCTCTGATTTCTGGGTGTATGCATTTCCTAACTGGACCCTTAAATTACTCAATTTCTCAGGTGGACTTTGGGCAAGCAGGAAATAATTATGAGTAACAATAACACAATGTTACCCTTTTAAACAATTTTTATTTTTTTAAGGAATTCATTTTACATATTACTTCCCAAAGTTTTCCTTTGCCATTTTTAAAATGTGTTTTGATGTTTCTGAGGAAGGAACCTCATCACAAGTGGATTTGGAAGATAAGTTTGTTAGATTACTGAGCACTATACTTAATCTGAAAAATGCCAAAGTAAATGCTTTTGCCAGCTGTAAAAGTTAGTCTTTATATGAAATCATGTCAAGGATGATTTCATCTGACGAGGTATAAAGAGTAGTTGTGGTTTCATACTTCCCCAGTCCTTAAAGTCACGATGTGAACGTCAAAATTTAAGTAATGAGGAAACTAGCGTAAAACCATCAAGTTTTGTAGGAAGATACACTGTAGAAACTTCTTTGTCACCTAAATGACTTGTGTTTTCTGTGATTATATATAATTTATATTATATCTGCTTGCCCTTAATTTTTTTCTAATTTGCTTGTTGAATGAAATGAGATAAATTGGCGATATATGTTGAAAGAAGAAAAGCAAGTATTAAAAACTATATTCATGGAAAAAGACTTAGGTTAGGCAGCACTGATGGCTTTTGTGGTATGTATCAAGTTTTGCTTTTCCTGTGATAGTGTCAGGAGAACTTTAACAGTGCTGTCCTGTGCCCAGAACACTGAGCTCCTCCTTCCTTTGTTCATGGATACATCTGTGTGATAGGGAAAAAGCAGGTGAGGAGAGCTTACTGGTCTTAGAGGTAATATTCACCCATGGCTATAAAGGAGTTTTCAGAATTCACATCTACTAACCTATGGAGCATTAATAATAGCTTCATATTCTATACATTAAATTACGCACATGAGGAAAGACAAAAACAGCAGATGCATAACCAATGCTCCTATCCCGAGCTTCCTCAAAAGAAAGAAATGTCAACAGCCAAAATTTTTACAGCAATTGCTATATGCTTAGCAGTATTTAAAAATTTTTTAAAATGTGAGAGGCAAAGAGAAAGAGAGAGAGTGTGTGTGTATGCACTAGTACACTATCATCTGTTGGACCCTCCAAATACTCACAATGGCTTAAAATGGATTGGGCTAAAGCTGGGAGCTGGGAACTCAATCTATGTCTCTCATGTGGGTACCAGAAATCAATCAACCTGAGCTGCCTTTTAGGGTCTGCATTAGCAGGAAGCTGGAGGCAGGAGCCATATGAGTATAAAACCCAGGTACTCTGATATGGAATGTAGGCATCTCACCCACCAAGTTAGAGCTCACCCTGCTTGGCAATATTTTAAGAGCTGTACTTATATTAACTCATTGAGTTATAACAACAACTCCATGTTATGTTTGATGACTATTCTCACCTTTGGAGGAAACTGAAGCAGAGAGAGATTTGGAACTTACCCCAAATCACACCACTGGTAAGGCAGAATACCAGGACCTGCACTCTGGCAGTTCATCTAAAGTTACTAGTCTAGAATGCGTAATTCCTATAGTAAGGTAACTATAAAAAGGAGCAAGAAATATATTTACACTTTTCAAGATAAATGCAGAAAGCAAGATTTTAAAAAACCATAACTTAGAATCTTACCTTTTATGTGGTATCAGGAAAGCTAGTTACTATAAGAATGATTTTTTACTCATTAAAATATTTGAAGACTTATTTAATAAAATTCATTTTCTGAGCTCAAACCTTATTCCAGAAGATCAATGTCTGCATGGTACATTGTACATAATTTAATTTTCCCAGTTGAACATCTTGACACTCTATGAACCATGAATGCATGAAATAGAAATTCCAAATGCCTTCCACATGGTGAGGGGAACCTCAAATATTTGTGCAGGAAGCTTATGAGTAGTCTGAAATTAAGTTATGCCTGTTCTTAGTGACTTTTATTATGTATGCGTAAGGTATTAGCACTTTGCTCTGAGTGGGAGCCTGAGGTGATGGATAGATGAGTCTGCTGCCTGTATTTAGGCACTTTGCTCACTTCCTGAGAGCTGTGTGGAAGGCATGTGGATGCTCATTAAGTTCCCAGCCATTCCCCGAGAGCAACAGGTGGCAAATCAAAGCTTCCCTGGTATGTCATGGCTGGTTTCCTCAACGTCTTGGACATAACGGATGGTATTTGCATGCTCTCTGTAGTCCCAGCAGATAAGGAGGAGATGAATAGCAGCAGGAAGTACTTTCAAAGCATAAATAAACACACAAGTCCAGGAAGATTATGACTAATGTTCCCGCTACCACACATTCTAAATCCATATCTTTTAAACACTATTACTTGTTTGGTCCACGACCTCATGTGGTTGGCCACCCAACAGAAGGTAAATTAAGAAAGGATGAAAATCCGAAGTTCTCAAGTTAATGAAGCTGTATAATAAATTATAAATGGTTAACTACATATAAATATCCAATGAACTCTAAGGACCATATGTGTCCCCTAAATTGTTTCTTTTTCAAAATTGCTTTTTCATACTGTCCACTTACTACACTAAAAGGAGAGCAGATCTCTCACATCCTGAGTTAGAGAAGATAAAATTTGTTAAACTACAAAGTAGAAACTATGATTTAAATTAAATACTGGATGGTTGGCCATTATGTAGAAAAGTACCTCTAGTGGTAAATAATAAAAATGACTTTTATCAGCTGATAATTTCTTCATGTATGGAAAAATAAGAGAAAATAGCAGGGCTGCATGACCTGGACAAAGTATCTCTGTCAGTTTCCTATGACCTAAGAAATAAAGGTGACTGAAAGTGGCAAATCACCAATGCCCTTTCCAATCTGCAAAAGTTCAAAACACTCAGCTTAGTCAACAAATGACTAAGGAAATGCCAAGGGAGCAGTGGGATGTTTTTCATGATGAGTAATATAAAATTAGAATAAAAGAATGATAATAGTAGTAATTTAAATCATGTATGTATATATATATATATGTACAGATGCATATATTTTTTTAGAGGGAGAAAACCAATTCCTTCATTCTCGTGAGTGCTTTTTCTCTCACCAAGAAAGTGTCCCCAGCTCAGGAACAGGGACAACTGGATTCCAGAGCATGGAGATTCTTGTCAGATGAGCGAGTGCTAGTAACACAGCTCTGCTCACCTGCATGCACTGACTGCAGGAAACTCAGTCCCAATCCTGCCACATGTCCTATCCCCTATTTATAATGCTACCAGTTTCTCTTTTTTATAATTTTAAACATACATGCTTATGGGGTATATTGTGACACTTCAATCAAACCAGAGTAATTAATACTTCCTTCCTCTTGTCATTAACTTAGGACTTTGAACGTCTCTTATCTATTTGCTCAGAGAACATGTGGTAGTTATGGTAAACTATTATCACCCCACTGTGCTGAGGAGCCAAATGAGCCTATTTCTCCTATGTAATTGTGTTTTGGTACCTATTATCCAATCTCCCTCCATTCCCTTTGGTTGTTTTCAAACACTGAATATTGTTTTCTTAAATTCATTTTTTAAAAATTCATTTTAAAAATGAATCATTTATTAAAAATGTATCTTTTTTAAACATGTGAAAGTGGCAGAAATTAACTCTAAAAATGAAATCACATCCTTGTGAAGGTATTCTTCTAAACATCAAATGACAAGGAAATAACTTTGATTCTTTGTTAAACTGTTGTCATGGAGCATGCCTTCTATGGAAGAATTAAAAAAAAAACTAAAAATATATTAAAAGGACATATCTGAATTTTTGTAATTCCAATCTGGAAACATCAAACAAAAAGCCAGAACCAAAATTTCTGAGTGCTATTGTAGAAGATGTAGCTTTCATATATGTTAATTATACCAAGTACTCATAAATTACTATATATGATACCATATGATTATCTGGAAACTCAGTAATGTAACATATCTTTTCTAAAATCATATTATTCCATGGAGCTCACAAGCTGAGCAGAACCTTCACAAAGTAGTATACGTGGTCCTCACACTGAAGTAAACATAGTAATCTTAGAATGGACTAATGCATACTAGAGATTGATTCAAAAACTGTACACTGAGAAAGTAAGGAATAATATACTTGCATTATGTTACCCAAATCGTTCTAGAATATTAAAAACAATTTTTCAAAATAGGAAGTTGGTTTCAAAGAAGTAACTGCAGCTAATGCAGTAGAAATGTCAGACTCATCAGTGAAAGATTTTATACAAAAAAATGTCTTTAACATTTTGAGGCTGTTTAAAAACATTTAAAACGTATCCCCAAGGTCATTCCTTGAGGTTTTCAAACTATGCTTTAGTCAGCAATTGTTTCAAAAGTTATGTAAGAAGTTTATGGGGACAGTATTGGCTCAAATATTCTAATAATATGATTTGCACTTTGCAGCAGTAATTATCAACAGGAAGGAGAAGCGCAACACATGTTAGAGAGATTATTATTAAATGAATGAATCACAAAAACAGTTGCCTACATGTTTGATTTATAGGAATGTTAAGATCCTAATTCTGGTCAAAATTTGATGGGATCTTAAGAATAAAATTAAAGTGTGAAGGTGAAGAGATACTGTAGACTTTAAAAAATTCACATGAATTCAACTGAAATGGCATTTACATTTATTTAAGGGGCATGAGAGGTTAGACAGTGGACTATGCAGTCCACATGGTAACTGCAAACATTAGCAATGCATGTACTTAATTTGTAATTCTAAAAATGTAATTGGTTGAACGGTTATATTTTTAAAAAAGCACTTAAAGAAAAACATATATTTTTAGTGTTCATTTTTTCCCATATTTTCCTACCATTTGGATGACTCTCACAATTACAGATCTATGAAGCCAAGACTGTCCGTGCAGTATTTACCTTTATCCCCGGAAGTCCAGGAAGCCCAGGAAGCCCTGGTTCACCCTACATAGGAAAATCACACAGCATTATAGAACGGTCTGTACTCAGTCACAGTATCTGGAGAAAAACATGGCAAAAGTTCCCAGCTGAATACTTTCTACATATGTCGATTTTTAGAAAACTGTCTAATTTCAAGACTTTGATGATATGCAGTTCAGTCAACTCTTGATTCAGTGATTCGTTGACTACTCTGCAGATTTTTCAGTTTTCCTTCTTTTACCAGTTTACTGTTCACTGGCATATCTATGAGAAGGTGAGAAGGGGGCTAACAGGAGAAGGAACTCCTCTGGTAAATGATTTGTTGGGGGAGATGGAGGGTATTTCCTGAGAAGAGGATCATATGTGCATTTTGGTAATGCATCCTATCCCAGGACTCTCTCATGTCAGATAATCAAGAGTTGGCTGTATGAACAGGTGGTCACATCAAAACACTATACACCATGAGTCTTGCTCACTTAAGAGTATAGTAAGATTTCTTTTCCATTCCTGAATGATGAGAAGATAAATAAATGGTTAAGATCATACTTAACTCCAGCCTGTATTTCTGACAATTGTTGAGCCTGGCCAATCCTGCTTAGCAGCTTAAGGCTAATGGTACCATGCAGCTGTTCCGAATACAGGTTTGAGATTAAGTGGTACATTTTGGGTGAGCACACTGGAGTCAGGCTAAACCTTCTCATTTTCACAGAATTGGCGACATTATTTTAAGTACAAAGTATAGTGACAAAAGGTTACATTGCTTAGCAAATTTCCTGAATTCCACAAAGAGGCATAAAGGAATCACAGGAGAAAATGAAAGTTCATCTTGCGTTGGATTGATATGGCCATTGTGTGTAGAAATAACACTTGAAGGTAAGAGTCACATCATTTCTTGATGGTCAAAGGAACAACTACGCAAAAAGATAGAGTAGCATCAAACAAAAATAAGGTGGCAGAAGGAGGCACTTCTAATCTAAATGCTTTAACAATCCTCACTGTAAGGAGAATCTACTAAACACAACCAGACATCCCATTTTTAATATTATTACTTTCGAATTATGAGGAGCCATAATTTGCTCTGGTTATTATCACAAAATGACTACAGATACTACTTATTAAGCTGTGTGATTACACAAAAAAGGAAATACTCAATAACTTTCTCATTGGCAGAGGTCAAAGTTACTTCAGGAATGCAAAAGAAAGGGCTTGTATGCATATGCTACTGAAAATTCTTTTACTTTAAAAAAGTAAACAGATTGATGACAAATCCATAGCTTTGTATTGTTTTAGAAAAGTCTCCTAAAATCAATTTTGGAAACATCCTATTTGAAACATTTTTGGAAATACATAGGCTATAACAGTATCTTCCAAGAAGAACTCTCACCACACCTTTCCTTCCTACTAAATTAAAAGGATTATAGACTACTTTAAAGAAAGATACTTATATGTACATACATGTATTGACATATACCCTTGTTTCCTAACAATGAGAAAAGTGTATAAGAAATTATGGAATATTTTATAATACAGATTAAATATTTAAAGACTTTGAGATTTTGGCTTTTCCCTATATCACGTGTGTGTGTGTGGGGGGGGGTAAGTTATAAATTTGTAATTTGTAATCTTAGATTTTGTAAATTTGAACTTTCCAAATGTATGTTCACTTAATGTCATAGCTTATATAATGAAAGATTAGAATATATTTAATGCTGGTCTTTGTGAAATATCTCTTAACATTTTGGGAAGACATTTCTTCCTATATAAAGTAAATTCTCCATACCAGGAAAGCTTATCTTCCTAAGAGATAAGTTCTCAGTAAACCTCTCTGTTCTTGCCTATTCCTTGATTCAGGAGTTTCTCTGAGTTGAGTTCTTGGACTGCACAGCCAGAGATAAGATATGGGTGATAATTAAGAACTGATTTGTTGTCAGAGAATACTTTCCTGAGCAGATAAATTACTATGGATACATTCAACTTTTTATTTTTGTTCCTTTCCAGTCATTCTTCCCTCTCCATTATAGAAGACCCTCAACTCAGGACTCTGCTTATCACTGCACATCTCTTTTACAATGCTCTGGACTTCTCCACAGAATTTGACCTTGAGGGTGTCTTCTTTTGGAGGGTCAGGCAATTTTAATCCTTTGAAAATAACATATATATTTTTAAAAGTTGTGGAAATATTAGGAAGGAAGACTTATGTGATAAAACAAAATATGTATATGTCTACAAACTCACTCTACAAGCCTTTATACACACTCCAACTCACATATCAATCACATACTCTACTGGTGAGACTATAAAAGAAAAAAATTCCAATGAAATAATTCCTACATTATGAAACTGCTCTAGACATTAGACTTTTATATGGCAAAAGAACGCACAGTATAAAGCTAATCCGTGGGGCTTTTTGCCGTGTTATGATATTCTGCACTTGCTGCAAAATTTCCCTAACACAAGAGCTTATGTGGCAAGGAGTGCACAGGACAGTTCTGCAACAGTGACAAAGAATGCCATAGAAGAGCTCTTAAATTGATCTTCTGCTCAGTTCAGTTCACATGGTTCTAAGAAAGCAGCAAGCATGGAAATACTTTGCTTTCAAATAAATGTGGGGGTAAATATTGCCAAAGAAGGCAAAGGAAATATTGTGGGAAGATTGTGTCAAAGCAAATAAGTAGGCTCAAATATTAAGGAAAAAGATGTTGCTCATTTCAGGGCACACATTCGTTCAGATGAGCTGTAAGCTTTTAACATATCTACCTGTTCTCTCAGTATTATTTAAAATTTATTTTTAATGAACTACAAAGAAAACTCTATGCCTACAAATGCAAGCCTGTAAGCTTTCATGAATGTAAGTTATATTTCCAAAAAAATTATAAGGCAATGTTTTATTTATTTTTTAAGTTTTTATTTTTATTTATTTGACAGATAGAGTTAGACAGTGAGAGAGAGAGAGGCAGAGAGAAAGGTCTTCCTTCCGTTGGTTCACTCCCCAAATGGCTGCTACGGCCAGCACTGAGCCGATCCGAAGCCAGGAGCCAGGTGCTTCTTCCTGGTCTCCCATGCGGGTGCAGGGGCCCAAGCACTTGGGCCATCCTCCACTGCCCTCCCGGGCCACAGCAGAGAGCTGGACTGGAAGAGGAGCAACCGGGACTAGAACCTGGCGCCCATATGGGATGCCGGCGCCGCAGGCAGAGGATTAACCAAGTGAGCCATGGTGCTGGCCTGACAATTTTTTATTAAGCAATTGAAAATAAACTTGGATCTTCCATTCTAAAAACAGTAGATCCTATATAAGCGTAAGCAGATTTGTTTTAGTTTGTGTTTTAGAGACATGACAGTCTTGCAGACTTTTCTTTAAATAGCAAATCCTAACTTTTGGAAGTAGTTTAAACATAGCCTCTAAAACTAAGGGAACTAAAATTAGACATCTGAGAAAGTGAGTCGCTTTTGTAAGCCAAAGCAGACAATGGATCTGTGACTATATCATTAATTCCAAATTTCTTAAATAAAGAATCACAGAACTTCTTAGGAACTAAATAGTGAAAATTACAGAGTTCTGCTTGTTCACTGGAAAAGTCTCAACATTTTCTGAAACTGAGCCTGATGAATCATCACCCTTAGATCTTTAAGAGAAAAGTCAGTCCTTAAACTAGAGAAATGTTGAAATAATCTAAAAGATCTTCTAAAAATTGCTTCCATCTTAAATATTTATAACAAAGCTCTCTCAAACAACTTTAAGAATGTGTGAACATTACTTCACTAGGTCTTAAGTTTCCAAATGATGGCAATGGTATTTATTCTCTCTTCCCCGTTCTGCTAATAAAGCAAATTCTATCTATTCTTATGTTTTATTAAGACATTAGCTACTTTTATCCAAAGGTAGACACAATACTAAGAGATTTAATTTAATAAGGAATTCACATTTACCTGTGGCTCCAATACATCTGTTATCTAAAATCTGGTTGCACTGGACATTGATACCCAGATGCTTGATGATAAAGTTGACCAACATTTGTTTCCTGTCTCAGACTCAAATGAGAATATGAGTGTAAGTGTATTTACTGAATGCTCTCCAAATTGTTGTTGGAGTGGAACATAAATGATAAAAACATTTAATGTATCCATGGACTGGTTAAAGTTCTATGGCTGATATCTCTAACTAAAATTTAGATTATTAACAAATTTAGTTTGTATAACATTCATGGCATAGACAGATATGATTCACATAGAGATTAGAAGGGAAGCATTGGCAATGAATGGAAAAGGAATATAACTTTTAAAGAACTATCAGTCTCTATCAAGGCAGTTTAGCAAATACATGTCTTCTCATGAAAGTTAGAAACATGCAGATTACCTTCAAGCATGCAAGATAAGTTGTTGGCATTCCAACTCAACTGATCTTTGTTAGTTTCAAACAGCTGAGTATATGCAGACTTTAGTTCATAAAGCATCCTTTTACATGGACATTGTGTGTTTTCACATTTTGCTATGGTCAGCATCAAGACCTTTTAAAATGCAAAACAACCAATAACACTGGGTAGGCAAAGCATGAAAAACTGCATCAATTTGCAATAATTGGCTTCAGATTACACAGTGGGCAGCAGACACAAAACTATGAATATGATATAGCACAAACACCACCCCAGAGAAAGAGATGTTACCTTTTGCCCTGGACGACCAGATTCTCCAGGTTCTCCCTGGCCAAAGAAAACCAAAGATGAAAAGGGTAGTCTTACAAGAATTTCCAAAACCTTGAGGTCCCTGGACACTTCCACAGAGATGGCTCAGCCTGCCTCTTGATCACATGCAGTTTATTCTGTTATTCTACATCTTATTAGTTGCAAAGAATTTTTTGTTGTTATGAATATGCTAAGAGATCACATGTAAGTCCATTTTCCATGAGAACTAAATGGAAAAGGAAGAGAAGGCAGGACCTTTCATTTAAGCCTTCAGAAGATTTTTCATAGGTACTCCCTGTTAGGTTTAGAAATTGATCATTGCAGAACAGCAACAGACTTACAACCATCAAAGCTGGCACATGGGAAGATAATGCAGGGGCTGATAAAAATAACCTGTGACTCCTGGGGTCCAAACACTTGCAAGGTTATAGTTACCTTGATTCCTGCAGCAGATGATCCAGGGTCACCCTAAGACAAAACCCATGAGAGGTTATACCACAAGTTATGAGAACAGGAAACATTATTACACATACCCAGGGAGGCATTGCCAACTTGAACACTCAAAGGGACCCTGTGACTAATGGGTCTTTCTCTGCTCCATACCACTTTATTCCAATCTCAGCTGTTAAGAAGTCAACAACTTCCAAGGGAAACAAGATATTTTTTTAAACACCCTTTTATATTGCATGCCAAATGTCTATGAACTCATTCCTTGAAGTAAATATAAATCCATAAACATGAATCTCTTCCCTTGATTCAGTGCTAAACCCTGCATTCTTGCATCATAAAGTTACAATGGAGGGATCTGGAGCTTTCGGTTTTCTGTATTTCTGGAATTTATTAATGTCACTGGCTATCATTTACTGGGAGTTCCTTGAACCTTCTGGTCTTCAGAAAGTCAAAGTTCAACAGATGAAGTTGCCGGGTTAATGATGCTGGGTTGGAGAAAGCCACGCGGTGGATCTGTTTGTTTTCCTTGAAAAGTGCTGTCACGGTTATGACTGGCATGGGATTCCCAGTTTTACACTTTTTTTTTTCACTGTAACATGGTCACCAGGAAGTCACAGGATGATGGATGACTTGTGGGTGATGGGGACATATGGAAGCTCTGAGCGAAAGTCTCGAGACAGAATCTGTTTTTTTCCAAGGCACTGCATTCCACCCAGATTTCATGAGTATGTTTCTAAAACAATTATCTGCTGATAGGGATGAGTAGACTGAAGAATAAGGGGGGACCTGGGAATGTGGCTTCTTTCTGAAATGAGGCCAGCACAACGCCTAGATTTCGAAGCCCCTGCTAGCCCTCTCTGTCTCATGAGCAGGAAAAGAAAAGGAGAAAATGTGGTCATTTGAGACTGTCAAGAAGACAGAAACAGCCACAGGAGGAAGGCACCTATGGGGATTTCCTCAGCTGTTGCATCTGCACAAATGCTCAAGGCGCTCTGGGGGTCTATTTCCTTGTTCTAGATTCCAGAAGCTGCTCATCAATCTTTCAGAGACAGACCAAAGGCCTCAGGTCTCTGTGCGTGGAGCACTTACTCCCCTGCTCCTGCCACGCCTCTTCCCTTTCCCATGACTGGCACCTTCCCTTTCTTCAGGTCTCAGCTTAAGTGGCTTTGCTTCAGAGAATCCCTCACAGACCAGCACAGACACATGGCCCCTGGCACACACATCTTACTGTGGCTTCACGATTGAATCACGTCTGGTGTCACTCACTTTGTCATGACCTATTTCTGTTTTCTGCCCATTCATCACTTGACCATCCACTCTCAGCTACATAGGAACTGATTCTGCATCTACTGTTATTCAGTGCTTGGCCCATGGCGTTGCTCAAGACATAAATGGTGGACAAATGAAAAATCTCAAAAACATTTTTGTTAAACAATTCAGTAGTCAAACATAAAAATTTAAAACCTGGAGAAAGGGAAAAAAATGACATTTAGAAAGAGGAGGAAATGGTAAGTTAGTTCATTGAGGAAAGACACATAAATTATATGTGAATTTTTTTTTTACATCTGTAATTGTTATTACCTAAGGAAAAGTTAGAAGGTCACTAAGTATAAAGAAGATGAAGACTCCAAATACTGCCTTATAGAACAACACTGATTTCCCTTCCCAGTCATTAGCATTCAGCTAAGTTCTAAATGGGAAATGAAATAAATATAACTACTTTTTTTCAATTTCTACTACTAGTGTAAGTCCAAACACTATCAAAATCAGTGAACCAGATTTGCCATATTTTGTATAAGGACATTGAATTCATGAAAGTAATTTTGATTTTGCAAAGTTCCTTATTTCATCTCATCTATACCTTGCAAAATTCCCATAGGATATGAGAGACACTAGCATTTTCATTTAATAGATGAGGAAACTGGAGCAGCTAGAAGTTAAATGAATTTGAGCCTTCCTAAATGCTATTGCTGTGTTTTTTTTGTTTGTTTGTTTGTTTTGTTTTTTAGATTTATTTCTTTATTTGAACGTCAGAGGTACACAGAGAGAGAAGGAGAGGCAGAGAGAGAAAGGTCTTCCATCCACTGGTTCACTTCCCAATTGGCTGCAATGGCCAGAGCTGTGCTGATCTGAAGCCAGGAGCCAGGAGCTTTTTCTTGGTCTCCCACATGGGTGCAGGGGCCCAAGGACTTGGGTCATTTCTACTGCTTTCCTAGGCCATAGCAGAGAGCTGGATCAGAAGTGGAGCAGCTGGGTTTCAAACTGGTGCCCATAAGGGATGCCAGCACTGCAGGCAGCGGCTTAACCCACTATGTCACAGCACTGGCCTCTAATATGTTCTTCTTATTAGAATAAGAAAAGAATTGTTGGCTCATTTCATTTTGACAGCAGGACATAAAGGCTAGTAAACTTGTAAAGAAAAGGAAGTTGCTTGTATTAACTGTAAACTTTTTGTATTTTAATAAAAAGTGGTTAGATAACCCACTAGAGGAGAATAAAGACAAGACTAATTTCATTTCTCAGAGAAAGCAGGTAGAAAGAAAGGAACAGTTTCCTGAAAGGCTAATTTATTTGTGGAAATTTGAGCAGTTTCATTTGATGGACAACTAAGAGCTATATTGAAATTCTATTTTTTCAAGATTTAGAACTGTGAAATCCCAAGGAATTTTTATGACTTTTAAGTGGCAAGGCAACTGCTGGAAGATGTTCACAAATTAAACATTTAAAAGCATAATGCTGCAAGTAGTGGATATGAAACTGTGTGTGTTTAATCCCCCTTCCCATCTCCCAAGTGAAAATGAACATAGGATTAAAGTAGGGAAGAAAGAACCCAACTATGTCTTTAAAGTATGATCTCAGCTTCCTAAGTCAGTTGATTTGGAAACAAAAATCTCCTCAGGGTAAGTTACAGATGAAGAAATCCTGTGGGTAGATTCTTGAGATAAATGACTTTGACCTTACTATTTTTTATTCAAGCACAGTTTTGATCTTTGTGAATATTTTCAGACACAATACACACTTAGTAGATAGCACGTGTGTGTTAATAAGACACGTGTGCATATGTGAAGTGAATGTGGTCTCTGAATTCTATAATTCATTAATTCAATAAATATTTATGGAGCACCAATTATTTCCTAGGTGTGTTCTGGGTACAGAGATGTTGGGAGTCAGGCAGACAACAATGAACAGTGCAGTTACAATCTCTGCCCCTATCCTGTACTTACAATAGTCACTTACTAATACATATAATACAGAATTTTTATAGATTGAAAGCATGAAAGGGGCTTCCTTTTTTTTTTCAAATCTGGAATAGGAAGAAACTGTCATATTTGGGAAATTCTGTGTCACTGTGTATACTTAGAAGTGACAACACGCTTAATGCATACAGAAAAACAGTCTCCCATTACATAAAAATTAGAAAAATGTCTAAATAAAACAAATTTAAAAGTTGTTCATTCAACAAATATTTATTATATTCTAATTATGTGCCAGGAACTTAGATTAGTGCTGGGAACAGTCTAGCATCTTACTTTGGTGAATTTACTTATTTATTTTTTCAGTGAGCAGGACATTCAATTAAACAAGGAAGTGGATTACCAAGAGCACTACATCTGGAGAAGGTGACTTATCTCATCCAAAGGTGATCGAAATGTTGCCCCAGGGAATTGACTTATATATTAAAGATGCAGTGGATTGAAGAATCAATGACGTTAGAAAGCATAGAAGTGAAGGTGAGGAGTCTGGGAGAGAAGGACCGACAGCAAAGGTGTTCAAACCATGCGAATCAAGTGTGCTAAGTGACAGTAGGCCTGTCATTGATTGGAGTGGGAGCAGCCACTGGGACAGGCCCTCAGGTGTGTTTTGAAGAACACACAGTTTGGTGGCTCCAAGTGTGGGTGTCTTCTGAAAAGGTTCTGAGGATGCAAATCAAAGACGCTGTGTAGATGCACAGCAAGAACACAGCATATTCATGGGAATCGAAAGTGGGGAAGTCAAGAAGGAAGACACAGATAAGAAAGGGAAAATGGAGCCACTGTATCAGCAGATAAAACTGTGGCCTGGTCAAACTACTTAGTATTGCATAAACGCCCACTTTGAAGGGAGGTGGGGAAGAAACAGATCAGAGATTCATTTCTACATTGTTCATAGGATTAACCTTCCAAAGGGTAGAACGTAACCTTTCTAAACATGACTGAAATGAGTCTTTGGCATGTTATGCTTAAGCCTACCGTGCACTGTGGTTGTTGGCCACAGAGAAAACCCAGCCTCGTGGTTTTTACAGTTCCACAGCATTTCCAGACAACCAGTCTGGAAAGGCTTAGATTGCTTTACCATCCAAAGGCACTGAATTGGATCAAAAGAGGAAAAATCCTATTAAAATGCATCAATGACGTAATTTACTACATCAATGGCAGAAAAGAAGCATTTAAAAAAATTTTACGTCTCAAACTTGGTAAATGATGAATGAGTTTCACATACTGAACACAAAGGAGAGGAGAAGAGTGTTTCCAACATGCTGGAAACAAATTATATGACAGAAGCAGGAAATGTTTAAAAAACACATCAAAAATTATATTCCAATTACAGCATTCTTGGGATGAATGCTACAGGTCAGATTACATATTATACACATTACAAAGTCCTATTTACAGTCCCCTGTTTAGACCCATTTATAGTTTATAGAAATGATTTCCGTTTTAACTGAAGAATTTTTGGTACTTAATTTTAGCTAATAGAACTTTCTGATAAAAAAGAAAAACAACCAATTTAATTAATTTCAATTTCCAAGTGCTAAGAAAAGTTAATTTTACTGAAAGTTTACTACATGTTAGTATGGTAAATGATTTGCATTAATGTATAAAAAAAAGTAAAATATTCATTTGAGATGACCTTGGTCTTTTCAAAGCAAAAAGCAGCTTTACTATTGTAAAGTTAAATTTAAAAAATGTGTGATTAAAGAAACATTTATTGGCCTAAGTTCCCCAAATGACACTTTAAAAGTACATCTTCTAAAGCATAACATTCTCCATGTAAATCCACATAGGTATAGTTCAAACTTGGTGTAAATTTTATATTTTCAATGGAAGAACTTGGCCTCTGTGTAGAATAATTCCTTTCTTCTAAGCAGAGGTTGGCAACCTTGGCCAAACTCAGGTGGCTGACTGCAAGGTCTGTGAGCTAACAATGATTCTTTAAAATTTTAAATGCTTAAAAAATCAAAATAATCATAATAGTTCATGACATGAAAATCACATAAAATTAAAATTTTTGCATCCAGAAATCAAGTTTGGAATACAGCCACACTCATTTGTTTATGTGTTGTCTACACTTACTTTCATGCTACAACAGTAGAGTTGAATGGTTGTGACAGAGACCATATGGCTCACAAAACCTAAAACATTTATTTTCTGGCCCTTTACAGAAAAAAATTGGCTCACCTTTACTTTTAAATAAAAACAATGGATTTAAATTCAACATCAAAGTTTACGAATCTAGGGTTTCAGATTTTGACTTCAAGAGTAGCCAGGGCATATTACTGGTCTCACTCATACTCACATATTCATGTCATATTTGATGGCAGCATGACACTTAGATATGGCAGGTGAATAAAAAGGCTGTACAGCAGTGGTACCCGTACTGGGGTGATTGTGTTCCCCAGGAACTATGTGCAATGTCTAGAGACATGTTTGGTTGTCACAAATGAGGAGGTGATACTGGCATTCAGTGGGTAGAGCCAACAACAATGCCAAACATCCAACAGCTCTCACAGTAAAGAATTTTATAGCTCAAAATATCAATAGAGCTGGGGTTGAGTCTATAAGGGTGGAAGTCCACTTTATTCCTCAAATACAAACACAACTGCCACTTGGTGACACTAATTCATACCTACCACCCATGCCATATTTGTATGAATATTTATGAGAATAACAATAACGTTCTTTTTGTCAGTATGTTTTTATGACTAACTGGTACCCATCTGTACTATAATAATTTTCAAAGTGCAACAGCCTTATTCTCCACTGTAAGCTTAAATGAATAATTATTGTTTTCATCACTGTTACATAGCTTGATCTAGATTAAAATTTATCTGGGTCTATTCTATAATTAATTTCTTAAAAGAACTTTTTCTTAATTCTTAACACATAGCATAAGTGGCATAAAATATCTTTCCTGTGTCACAGATATCTGCAAAGTATGAATCCAAGTATAAACCACAAGACCATTGTAATATAAATGCTAATTATTGATAAAATACCCAGATTTAGTGCATTTAAAGTTGAAGAAAAGTTTCAAGACTGCATTAAAGGTTTACTCCAGTGACAGTAACCTATCAACTCTTAGATCTCACCCCATTCCTCTGACATGTTCTCTCCTGAAACTGGGGCAAACCCAGTCACTTTAGGAACACTGTTTTTAGATCTCTGTGTACAAAGTAATGTCCCATTTACACTTGGATATGTGATTTCATTACTAGAAATGTAGCTATTCATTTTCTAGAATGTTTGACATTCCATTCTACTTCGAAAATATTTAAATTTGTGCTCAGGAGTTTGTATAATCATCTTCTACAAATCAAATACTAAAGCTTTGATAATCTTGGAACATTATCTCTGGCCTTGTCATATTAATCTACTCTTTCTCAATCACCTCTCTGTAAATTTCTCATTTTCATAAAGAAGAAACAACATTTCTTGTTCACACACATACTCTTTCGTATTTCACAAAACCATACCTTTTCGCCTGTATCACCTTTGGGGCCATTCTCTCCAGCATCTCCCTGAGAAGAAACAAAAGCAATAAACATAAAATATATTTGTGATGTGAAACAAAGAGTCATTTTCATTATCTGAAGCTTTATTTCATAAACACAATATATTAAGATTGATGGCAAATGTTCTACATAGCTGATGGATTCTTACTTGACCAGTTGGCTGATATCAATAAAATAAATTTTATTGCAATGAACATGCTGAACACTTTGAAACTATTCTACTTCATTAACAGAAAGCAGTAATTTGCTTTCCAATACCTTTTTTTGGACACATAAGGCCTCCTAATGCTCTCTTTTCTTCTCTGCTCCAAGCTCCACTTGAACAATGACTCTCTCCTGACAGTTGCCATGCCACCTCTCTGTCCTTTGCACTGTTTTGTAACACCTGGACCCCTACCCTCTCTTTTCTCTTCTACTGCACAGATCCTACCCTGTCTTTAAACCCATCTCAAATATCACAGCCTCCATGTACATGATGAGGCCCTCAAAACCTGTGAAGTGAGTATTTATCTGGGCTTACAATGGTTTGCACTTGTGAAAGGAATGCTTTATGTTTTATTAGAAAACATGTTTTTAATCATAGTAAAATGAATTTGGAGATTTTCTCCTTCCTTTGTTATTTTTGTGACTTCCAATGCCTATTTCCTCACTGACATCTCCTTTCTATCTATAAGACAATGTGTTAGAATGAAAAGCCTCATTTATTGTCCAGGCTTTGCTTGCTTAAATTCTGAATTCTTCTAAGTTTTACAGCACAACAGGGTGGAAAAATGTCATGGACTCTGGGGCAAAGGAGATCAAGTCCAGTTCCAGCACCCACTGGGCAAATGAGATTCTCTCTGCATCAAGTTACTCATCTGTAATGCAAGTTGAGAGAGACTGTATGTAATTATAAGCAGTAAGTAGCATACTGTGTGTAAAGCAACTAGGACAGTGTCTGGAATATCATCAGCTGGCACTGACAGCTGGTAGCCATAATGATGCATTGCTGTTCATGGAGTTCCCAGGCTGGAAAGGACTTCTCTTTAGCTTTCTAAGAGTCACTTGTATTTTTTTTTTTTTTAAGATTTATGTTATTTATTTTGAAAAGCAGAGTCACACAGAGAGAGAAAGAGAGGTCTTCCATCTGATGGTTCACTCCCCAAATGGCTGCAACGGCCGGGGCTGGGCCAAGCCAAAGCCAGGAACCAGGAGCTTCTTTTGGGTCTCCCAAGTGGGTACAGGTGCTCAAGTACTTGTGCTATTTTCTGCTGTTTTCCCAGGAGCATTAGCAGGGAGCTAGATTGGAAGTGGAGCAACCAGGACTTGAATCGGTGCCCATATGGGACACTGGTGCTACAGGTGGAGGATTACCCTGCTATGCCACAGCAATGGCCCCAAGAGTCATTTTTCTATCATTTTAAAAGTCCCTTAATATAAGAGATCAACTATTAATAACGGCTTCTTGAGAGGGAGAGGACAAGGGGTGGAATAGGGAGACTTTTTATTTTTCCCTGTATTTTTCTTTCATTGTTTCAAATTAGCATGACTCTAAATTGCTTAGGCATTTGTCTATGGTTGACTGATAGACCACTGCAAGAAACAAGGGCCACAGACATTTTATCTGATGAGCCGCTGGGATGGTGAGGACATTGCTCCTTTTCCTGCTTTAATTTCAACACAAGTCATGCAATGACTAATTAATTTCAAGTTAATTACCATGAACATACTGGATGCCAAACAAACATACCAATGATCTATTATGAGAGATCCTTGCTGGGTGGTTTATTTGTACTTTTTAAAAATTTTATTTAAAAATCTATTAAAAAACAAAGCAAACCTCCCTAGTGGGAGAGCTGGCTCAGAGCAACTGTGAAGCAGAGAGTCTGACTGAGCTGCTCCCTCAGGAAATTACCTTTAAAACTTCTCTACTTTGCTCATCTTCTATCAAAATCAATACCTTTTTTCTTTACAACAGCAAAAAATAAAGTTACACTGAAGACATTTTCTTGGTCTATAGATGGGGCCTAGAGATTATAATCTTTACTTGTCAGAAAAATCAGATCATTTGCAAAGAACATGACGAAGTATCTGTGTTGTTCCTTACCCAGCACACTTCTCAAACACTTATCAAGTGAACAGCATGACAGCCAGGAAAATAAGCACCAGCATATGCACTAAGAATCTAAAAATAATCAGGACAGTCCCAGAGGTAGTAAGGAGAGGGATCCAGGAGAAATGTAGCATGCAGCACCCTGCTTCTCCTTTTGTTTTTCTTTTTTGGGTTTTATGGGAATTCTTTGTAGGGTAACTTTTAGATAATTGCTACAGATAAACATCTGTATCCCTTTAACTTGGAGACATAAGAAGGAGTAGGGAGAGCTGTAGCTGCTTTGACAATCAGCAAGTAGGTAGAACTGAGAGTTTTGCAGGTGTAGGGATTTTTCAAAGCCATTTAAAAACCTGACGTGGAATGTCTAAATTTGTTCCCTTTCTCTTACTTGTTTAATCTCTTACTCAAAATGCTTGTCCAAATTTAAGAATTAAACTATTTTCTCCTCCCATTAAGTAACAGTTTGAGAAGAACAGTGGTCATTAGATATCTTTCTCTCTCTGTCTCTCTCCATCCATCTGTCTTTCCACGTATCTAATCATTTATACAGTTGAGTTCGGATCCCTCTTTGTTGGAGTGGAGGAGAAGAAAAGGCAATTAAAGGCAGTCATTCTCACCTTTTCTCCTTGTTCTCCAGGTTCTCCCTGAGCAGAAGAACAGAGATTGGGTGTCATTAAATTATAAAATACCTATCAAGCAATGTCAGATATAACATATATTGAACACATTAGGTAAATTACGTGTGACACTTTCTATTTTGGCTGTGTACAGGAAGTTGACCTTCCTGGAGAATTGGGTATGACTATCAACACTGTATGGAATCTTAAGTCTTTGCCTTTTTATGTGGCTAACGATACGCATTTTAAGATGATCATCTAGAAGCTAGTTTGGGGGCACTAAGGACAATGTGTGGCAACACAGACTCCTGAGAGGCTTCTTAGTCCCCTGCTTTTTTATTCTTCCAAACTCAGTATCAACAAGGTGGACCAGCTCCTTCACAGAGCCTTTTATCCAAAACATCCCATTGCATGGATTATTCCAGGGGTCTGGGGGCCCAGAGTAGTTCTCCAGTCTGTTTTCCCTTACAGGATTATAAACAGTCAGTCCTGAACTTGCACAACTTTGCAATGTCATGAACTCTCTTTAATTGCTGGTAACCAGAGTATTCCAGCTCAGGTGCAGTTCAGGAGGCACTGGTACCTTCAGGAAAGACTGTGGAGTGGGGCAGAATTTGAGTTTAGGAGGGATGTCTTCACTTAATATGTGACCAGAAGAGCATAAGGACTAAAATACAAAGTTGTTCTGAATAGACTTGAATTCCTACTGTACCCAGGAAAGGGCAGGAATGGAATAGGAGAGTCTTAGTACAACTCATATGCATTACAATAATATTTTTCCTGAAAAGCTTGAGAAAGTGTTTTCATGAGATCAGACTGCTTTTAAATAAAACGGCATAAGGCAATTATTATGATTATATATTTTTTAGCTTGGAGGCAAGAATCTTTTCATTCTCTGGAACTCAACCTGACCTTTTGGTTTTCTGAATTTCTGGCCACTTTCACTGCTCAACATCCAGCCAGATGGTCGCTAGGCAACACCAGAGCAGCACTATGAACATGTATTAAGCATTAATTCCTATCATTCGGCTTTTTAGCATGGAGCAAGAGGAAAGAAGACAGGAAAACGGCTGTAGTCCCAGAAGGAGTATTTTATTTCCTCTCCTGCAGGACAAAGGATAGGTCTATAAATTTTAGGTCTGTCCTAGGTGTCTGTCAATAGCAATGTGATCTGTAAAATCAGCTGACAGACATCTGTGGGGTAGATGCACACTAGCACAGCTGACGGGATTAGACATCAGTTTTGTACTTCAAGGGACGTTCACTCATCAAAGGATTTGAGATTGTCTGCCTGTTTGGTTTAAACCAAACTGTCACCAATCTTCTTATACTTAACAGATTCAGTTGTTCTTTAAGAGACAAAGAAAACTTTCGATCCAAAAATGATCCTCACTACATTTTTTCCCTATTTAGTAATTCAGACTACATCCATTTAAAATTTTAAACATGACCATCTTTATTCTGATCTCCATTTACTTAACTGATTATGCTATGCAAGATTGGAAGTAGCCAGATCTGAGGAAAAAGCCTTGGTTGTACTATGATCATCACCTTTAGAATTTGTATATATGCACATTTCAGTCAATATGGTCATGACCCATGTTTTTATATGCTAAGTGGTAAGATGACAATAGTCATAGTTGAAACATGGGCTTTCTCATGTTACATATGTGCAGATATATGTATATTCCATGATTTTAGACAATCATGTCCTATTTGTTTTTCTGCATTTTTTAATACTAATGAAAATTATAAACATAATTTATTCATTCATCACAAAGGTCTATACTCCAGCATATTATAGCACTGACAAAAAATTCTATCCAAATGTAACCAGTGAGATATTTAAAGTTGTAATGGCTTACAGTTTTATGGAAAAACATGAGTCAAATGAAGCTGGTTGGCTTTGTACTAACCTTTGGCCCTGGTATTCCATTCTGTCCCACTGCTCCAGGCAACCCAGGCTCACCCTCAAAATAAAATACAGATACAACTAAGTAAAATTCAACATATTATAGACAAATTCAATATATTATATAGATCACTAGGGAAGATAGCCATCCAATCATGCTCTATAGACGCAGAAAGAATAAGATACCGCAGAGAATAAGCAACAAGTCAGCTGTGTGGTCTAAAATTCTGCATGCCAGAGAGAAAAGATATAATCGAGTTAATTCGCTTTTTTCATCATCAAGAAGTTGAAGTAACTGGCTATTAGAAATTAGTATCTAGCATGGTGCTGGAGATACTGAAGCCATGAAATAAATTGTTGAGTGAGTAAAAGATATTTGAAATATAAAACTCTGTTGGTGGACAACTTTAAAATGATGGATCAGCTTGGAAAAACAAAGACTAAATCACTGTATTTTCAAGTTAAAAAGAAGATGAATATTTACAAATCGAAAGCCTGAAGAACATACACATTTTTGGAAACTTATTAATTGATATGGACACTTTTGACATAAAAGTAAAAATGTCTTTGATTTCTCTTTCCAACTTTGTTAGAAAATACTTAGAATAAAACATCGGGATTTTGGTTCTTATTGTCATACTGAATGGTAGACTTTGGGGTAAAAGATGAGAGCTGTTAGGCTAGAAAAATTTTCCTCTTCAGTCTTTCTAGACTCCAAACCAGCAATTGTTTTCCAAAGGAAAAAAAGCCCCTTGAGGTGCTCATAAGATATTTTGGCCCTTCATACTTCCATGTGGCTCAAATTTGCATCAACTAGAATTTCATTTTCACATAAAAACATTCCCAAGGTCCTTCACTGTGTACTTCAACTACTGGAAAACTTTCATCTTTCCACTGAGGGTAGTAAAGTTGCTTCCAGGTTGATTTTTTCTTAAAAGGCAGAATTAAAGGGTGAGTGTTTGGTCCAGTGAGTAGGAACCCCATATCCTCTGTCAGAATACCTGGGTTCAATGCTCAGCTCTGGTTCCTGTTTCCAGTTTCCTGGTAATGTGGACCCTGGGAGGAATCAGTGATGGCTCAAGTACTTGGGTTCCCACCACCCATGTGGGAGACTTAGATGGAGTTCTAGGCTCCCACCCTTGACCCCTCCCAGAGGCCACTGCAGGCATTTGGGGAGCTCTGTCTCTCTTCATAAAGATTTCTGAGACTCTGCCTCTCAAAAATGCTGTCTGCACATTAATGTTTATTGCAGCTCAATTCACAATAGCTAAGACCTGGAACCAACCCAAATGCCCATCAACAGTAGACTGGATAAAGAAATTATGGGACATGTACTCTATAGAATACTATACAGCAGTCAAAAACAATGAAACCCGGTCATTTGCAACAAGATGGAGGAATCTGGAAAACATTATGCTGAGTGAATTAAGCCAGTCCCAAAGGGACAAATATCATATGTTCTCCTTGATCGGCAACAACTAACTGAGCACCAAAGGGGAAACCTATTGAAGTGAAATGGACACTGTGAGAAACAGTGACTTGATCAGCCCTTGTCTTGACTGTTGTACAATTTAATACTTTATCCCTTTTAGTATTTTTTTTTTTGTTCTAGTACTATTGGTTGAACTCTGTAATTAACACACAATTATTCTTAGGTGTTTAAATTTAACTGAAAAGTGATCCCTGTTAAATATAAGAGTGGGAATAAGAGAGGGAGGAGATGTACAATTTGGGACATGCTCAATCGGACTTGCCCCAAATGGTGGCGTTAGAAATGTGCCAGGGGATTCCAATACAATCCCATCAAGGTTGCATGTACCAATGGCATCTCACTAGTCAAAGTGATCAATTTCAGTTCACAATTGATCACACTGATAGGTCTAAGAGTCAAAGGGATCACACAAACAAGACTAGCGTCTGCGAATAGTAACTGATAGAATCAAAAAGGGAGAGAATGATCCAACATGGGAAGCAGGATACACAGCAGACTCATAGAATGGCAGATGTCCTAAATAGCACTCTGGCCTAAGAATCAGCCCCTAAGGCATTCGGATCTGGTCTTCTGTGTATGAAGTTAATTGAAAATGAATCTTAATGGAGAATGGGACTGGGAATGGGAGAGGGAGGAGGAGTGGGGATGGAAGGGTGGGTATGGTGGGAAGAATCACTATATTTCTAAAGTTGTACTTATAAAATTTGTAATCATTAAATTAAAGGTTTCTTTGGGGAAAAATGTTTTCCAAATCACCTGGAAGACAGGAATTGTGTAATTTTTATATTTGTTTTTATATTTGTTTTCTCTGCTTCTAAAACGTATTAGTAATAACGACATTTCTTAAGTAACAAATTAACTTAATTCACTTAACTCCCACAAGTTTCATCCTAATTTTACAGTAAGAAACAGGCACAGAGAACTTAAGTCATTTTTCCAGAATTTTAGGAATATAGCAAAGATTTGAACTTTAATGATCTGGCTTAAGAGGGTCTTTGTGTGTGTGTGCGTGTGTGTGTGTGTGTGTGTGTATGTGTATGTGTATGTGTTTGAAAGATTTATTTTACTTATTTGAAGGGCAGAACTATGGGGGGGTGGGAGTTGGAAGAGGTCTTCCATCTGCTGGTTTACTCCCCAAATGGCCACAACGGCCAAGCACTTGGGCCATCTTCCACTGCTTTCCCAGGTGCATTAGCAGAGAGCTGGCTCAGAAGTGGAACGATCAGGATTCAATCTGGTGCCCATATGGGATGTGGGTGCTGCAGGCCTGGGCTTTAACCCCCTGAGCCTACGTGGGATATCTAGAAGAAGCTCCTGACTCCTGGCTTCGGCCTGGCCCAGCCCTGGTTGTTGCGGCCATCTGGGGAGCAAGCCAGTGGATGGAACACCTTTTTCTCTCTGTCTCTTATCTCCCTGTAATTCTGCCTTTCAAATAAATAAAATAATTTTTTTAAAGAAGAAGTGGTGCAGCCTGACTCAAAAGAATGCTGGCATTGTAGGCAGCAGCTTAATCCATTAAGCCACAGCACTGGCCTTCAGACTTGCTCTTAACTCTATGTGTTGCATTGATGATGAAAGTGTTGAGAAATTGAGGGGGTATAGATGATTAGCAATTTTATTCTCATTCTTATTTATATACCCCATTTAAATGACCTTTCAGATATAAAGAAACCAGAAACAAATATAAGTTACATAAAGACGATTTATGTATATAGACCAGATAAATTAGGCAATGTGAAGCTTCTGTTGCCTTATAAAAGAGCCAAGTTTTTCTATTGTGTTGGATTATTTTCATTACTAAAGTCTTAACTTTTTGGAAGAACCTATGCTTCCTGTATAAAGTTACACTATAATTGTAACTCTTACACTTTCCTTGGTAAAATTACAAAAAATGTTGACTTAGAATAATGATGGTTATTATGGGAAAATTTTGATGTGCCATTTATATATAACAAAGGATAAGACCTTGGAAATAGAATACACCCTGAAAGAAGACTATCATTTACTATGCAGCCAGAAACAGAGCTATGGAGTCTGCTTACTTCAAAGAATCCACAACAGGATGCACTAATATCATAACTCATGGTTTAATGCAAGTAAGAGATACTGCCAGGGAACAATACAAACTTTGTTTAGACTTTCAAAGAATAACCACGGTAGCCAGAGGTATTAAAAAAAATGGTTAAGCCCCTGGAACCGGACAAAATTCATGCTGAGATTCTGAAGCAAGGAAGAGAAATGTTGCTTAGGTATCTGCATAACATTCTCCTTAATATATGAACATCGAGGGACTAAAACTTGATCTCCTTTTTCCTTTGATTCTATATATTGCTAAAATAACATAAAAGGAAACCAAAAAATTGCTCCCATAATCTCATCACTCTATAATAATTGTTTGCACTTTGCCCTGTTTCCTTTTGGTCTCTTTTTTAGTTATGCTTAAGTCTTTTCTAGGAACTGTAAGCATGTGACACACTTGATGGTTCAATTTTTCATTATCTTTATGCCCCACGTTTGTTTGACATGGTACTAGTGATTGTCTTATGGACAGTTTGATTAGCTCAAAATCAGCTGTCTTCATTCATTTACTCAGTCCCACATTGTTGAATACTCAGGTTGTTTTTCAATTTTTGCTATCAAAGAAAAACTAAAACACTTTGTAAATATGTTCATATAAGTATTTTCCCATCGAGTTCTTTAGTTAGGTACTTTGGATTTGTTTTATTAGTCAATGGAAACATTTTATGGCACTGAGTTTTATTTGCTTTTACATTTGTTTAGGTGTTACTTTTCAGAACTTCATCAGCATAGGACATCACAATTTTAAATATTTTTGTGGGTATTTTGGACACAAATAAAAAATTGCTGAATTTTATATTTCTTTTTCATGTAAAGGTGAAATACTTTTTCATATTTTATAATTTAAATATGTGTTGACAAAATGCTAAAGCTGAAAAGTGAATAAAGGTAGCTGTTTCCTATATGAATAGAGGGAGGATGCAAAGAAGGAAAAATGACTCATAACATCTTTATGTTCTAATTAGTTATATCCAGAAAAATACACTCCAAGTTAGATTTTGAGGCTATGGAGTATCATTATTGTCCCAACTGAGTTTCCCAAGATGGATGAAAGAGATGTTAAAGATGGTATACAACTTTGAGTACCAAAGCAAATCTACAGGAATCTATAAGGCATTAATTCACTCAACTAACATTTAGTAAAAATTTACTATATTTTCTACTCTGAGTTGCTTTGTGCCTCATGGGATAAAAAAGATGAAATAGATAGACATGACAGGCATTCATGGGCCCCAAAAGCTTGTTTTTGAGTGTATGTGGGGGAGATATACATAATAAGGCGCGGGGGCATTGAAATAAATTCATGAAAACTTTTTTTGACCAGTTTTCTTGCACTTCATGAAGTAAAGGGGCATTATAGAAATAACAGAGAAGTCTTAATGAGGGACAAACCATATATCACAAAGGAAATTATATATTCTAATATAGTATAAAAATCAATCATGAGCCCTCTTCAAAAAAGTTATGATGATTTTATACTACTGCAT